TGTAGGAGGGGGCGGGGGGAAGGGGGGAGAAATGACCCAAACATTGTATGCACATATGAATAAAATAAAAATTAAAATAAAAAAAGAAAACAATCTCCTCTGGGCCCTTTCCTGAGCCTGTATTAGCTAAGCTCATGTCTCAGAAGAAAGGACTGAGGTGTCCCACTGGGACAGGCTTTTGTTATACAACATTGTCCTCTATTTCGGTGCTATGGTGAATCCTTTATAAACTGTCTAGTTTCCTGGCCATTGTATATTCTCCAAGCACATTAGGTACCCCTAAAAATCACATATTGTTTTCCTAAAAATTTTCTACATTCACGTTCCCCTTCCCCTATAGAAAACAGTGTTGAGCTCATGAGTAATCACATTCCTGTGATTTTTTTCCCCTTTTGCATGTTAATAAATTTTCTTGCCTTTTCTCTTAATTAATCTTTGTGAGTTTATTCCAGTGAACCTTTAGAAAGCAGAAGGGAAATTTATCTTTACCCCTACAGAAGTCATTTAAGAAGACTAAAATGTGGCAGTAAGTCATTTATTCAGAGACTAATATCAACCAGTCCACACTACCAGCTTTTTTCTCACCCTGAGGTCAACTGGTATTAGGAAAAGTATTTTTTTCATATATATGTTTCATTGTATTCATTTGTTGCTTGTATCTTTTTACTGTAAAAGTGCCACACAATATAGAAATTGACAAAGCAATTACAAAGAATTCTGACTAGGGCATGGAGGGAGGTAGTCTGGATCTTTAGAATCTATGAAGAATACTCTCTGAGTATGATTGTGAACTGGGGAGCCTGGATAAGTATGTTCAGCCTGCATCCCTGGAGAGAAGGGGGAAGAGCTGGGAAAGGTAAGTTCAAAGGGCACTATAGCAACTTCCTCTAAGAACATCTTCAAAAGCAAGATAGGGAAAACTTCCTCATTTCATATTCCCTCTGCACTCCAACTTCTTAACCTTGTTTCTCTTCCTCAATCCAGAATTCAATGTATTACTCATATTACATGTTTACATTATGGGCTGAAAAGGCTTTTACAGGTTAGACTGAGATACTATCATTTAAAATACTTTTTATATAAAAGTGATTGAAATGCCAAACATCAAATTCAAAAATAAATTTAAAGTGTAATCTGAGTTGATGCTATATAGGACATAAAGTAACAGGATAAAGTATGATGACTTCAGGAATTGATACTCTCAAAAAGCAGGACAGGAAACCCTTGACATCTTGGAGATGGATCAACATAAAAGTGAGCTCTTTTTAAAGAGGAAGATGAAGTATCAACCCAGTTAATTCAATGCTTTTAATTTCTGTTAGGCAAAAGTAAAGCTGGAGATTTGGCTGCTGTCATGGTGAGGTCATTCTAGGTCATGTTGTTTTCTCAGGGAGGGTACACTACTTCTCTCTGCAGTAGGTCAGCAATGACCTTGCAAGATGAACTGATATTGCAGGAAAGGACGATGTGTCAAGTTAGAGTCATTACCCTAAGTTAGGATTGGTTTAAGGATATAAAATAAACCTGTTGATGGAGGAGTGGCTGAAGTGGTAGAGCGCCTGCCTAGCACATATGAGGCCCTGAGTGCAAACCCCGGGACTGTCAAAAAACAAAAAGCAATAAACAACCTAAAACAGCTGGACACTGGTGGCTCACGCCTGTAATCCTAGCTACTCAGGAGGCAGAGATCGGGAGGATCGTGGTTCAAAGCCAGCCTGGGCAAATAGTTCACGAGACACGCTCTCGAAAAACCCTTCACAAAAAAGGGCTGGTGGAGTGGCTCAAGGTGGAGGCCCTGAGTTCAAGCCCCAGTACTACAAAATAAAACAACACCTCTCCACACTCAAATCAACCAAATAAAATAAGCCTGTTTCTCAAGTAAATGTAAAATTATTTGTGGTTTGCTAGTGAACAAAACTTTCACATACTCTTTTTTTTGTCTCTTTTTTGTGGTGTTGGGGATTGAATCCAAAGCTTCATGCATGCTAGGCTAGTATTCTACCACTGAGCTCAACTTTCCTTAGCCTCAACTTTCACATTACACTTTTTTTTTCTAGTACTGGGGGTTTGAATTCAAGGTCTCACGCTTGCTAGGCAGGTGCCTTAACACTTGAGCACTCATCCAGCCCTATACTATTCTCAAAGGCTCTTACCTAATTAGCATCTCTCAAATCTAGGAATAGGTAATAATTGAGCGAGCCTTTCTAACATCTGATTCTCCTGTGATTTGCTATTTTTATTACTATGAAGCTAAGTAGTGATAGCAACACCACCAATATTTACATTTACCTAGCATCAATATTATTTTATTTAAAAGAAGTAATATTTGAGCCAGGTATGATGGTTCATACTTGTAATCCCAGTGCCTTGGAGGTGAAGGCAAGCAGATGGAGGTTTGAGGCCATGCTAGCCATAGTTACCAAGACTCTACCATAAAAACAAAAGGGCCAGATCATGGCTCAAGTGGTAGAGTGAGTCTGAGGTCCTAGGTTCAATCCCTAGTACTACAAAAAATGTAATACTTGGTCACTATCATCATCCACACTTTCTTGCACTTGAGAATATGCCAGGTTCAAAGGTGAGCTTATTTTGTCCTCCTGACTCGGGTCTCTCCAGGAAGGATGGCTGGAGAAAAGGACTTGATTAAAATTAAATTACTTTTAAGAAGAGAGTGGCTCAAGTGGCTAAGCTTCAAAAAAAATTACTATGATCAACATGATCACTGGTATTTTGGTATTTAAAAGAAGCACAGGACACTGGAATAAATAAAATGGATCCTGTATGCAAAAGTCGTAAGTAGCTGTTTTCAATGCCCATGTACACTGTAATGAAATCGAAAGTTAAAAATGTCTGATATGAAGGCTATGTCATTCTGGGATATTACACATAAGATTAGGTAAGTTAGTGGGTAACTCTAGGAGGGCATTAAAATATCCCCAGCATCAGTTGCGTGGGCTTAGGCCCAGGCATCTGGTGATTTTGATGCTTACTTCTGGTCAAGAGTTACAGACTTAGAGGATGTTAAATATCATTACACTTAACTCCCAATGACTGTATTTATTTATTTATTTTTTCATTTTTCTTTTATTATTCATATGTGCATACAAGGCTTGGTTCATTTCTCCCCCCTGCCCCCACCCCCTCCCTTACCACCCACTCCGCCCCCTCCCGCTCCCTCCCCTCAATACCCAGCAGAAACTATTTTGCCCTTATCTCTAATTTTGTTGTAGAGAGAGTATAAGCAATAATAGGAAGGAACAAGGGGTTTTGCTGGTTGAGATAAGGATAGCTATACAGGGCATTGACTCACATTGATTTCCTGTGCGTGGGTGTTACCTTCTAGGTTAATTCTTTTTGATCTAACCTTTTCTCTAGTTCCTGGTCCCCTTTTCCTGTTGGCCTCAGTTGCTTTAAGGTATCTGCTTTAGTTTCTCTGCGTTAAGGGCAACAAATGCTAGCTAGTTTTTTAGGTGTCTTACCTATCCTCACCCCTCCCTTGTGTGCTCTCGCTTTTATCATGTGCTCATAGTCCAATCCCCTTGTTGTGTTTGCCCTTGATCTAATGTCCACATATGAGGGAGAACATACGATTTTTGGTCTTTTGAGCCAGGCTAACCTCACTCAGAATGATGTTCTCCAATTCCATCCATTTACCAGCGAATGATAACATTTCGTTCTTCTTCATGGCTGCATAAAATTCCATTGTGTATAGATACCACATTTTCTTAATCCATTCGTCAGTGGTGGGGCATCTTGGCTGTTTCCATAACTTGGCTATTGTGAATAGTGCTGCAATAAACATGGATGTGCAGGTGCCTCTGGAGTAACAGTCTTTTGGGTATATCCCCAAGAGTGGTATTGCTGGATCAAATGGTAGATCGATGTCCATCTTTTTAAGTAGCCTCCAAATTTTTTTCCAGAGTGGTTGTACTAGTCTACATTCCCACCAACAGTGTAAGAGGGTTCCTTTTTCCCGCATCCTCGCCAACACCTGTTGTTGGTGGTGTTGCTGATGATGGCTATTCTAACAGGGGTGAGGTGGAATCTTAGTGTGGTTTTAATTTGCATTTCCTTTATTGCTAGAGATGGTGAGCATTTTTTCATGTGTTTTCTGGCCATTTGAATTTCTTCTTTTGAGAAAGTTCTGTTTAGTTCACGTGCCCATTTCTTTATTGGTTCATTAGTTTTGGGAGAATTTAGTTTTTTAAGTTCCCTGTATATTCTGGTTATCAGTCCTTTGTCTGATGTATAGTTGGCAAATATTTTCTCCCACTCTGTGGGTGTTCTCTTCAGTTTAGAGGCCATTTCTTTTGATGAACAGAAGCTTTTTAGTTTTATGAGGTCCCATTTATCTATGCTATCTCTTAGTTGCTGTGCTGCTGGGGTTTCCCAATGACTGTATTTAGTCACAGTAAAACTTGAAGATCTCACCAGCAAAGTTGTTCTACTTATAAATTCATGACTAATTTCATCATCTCCAGGGGTTTGTTTTTATTTAATAAGGTTTACAGTAGCAGATGAAAAAACACATTTAAACTTTCCTTCCTACACCACCATGAAATAGTCAAATCTAAACATATTCTGTGAGGTAAAAAAGTAATCAATTTAGAAGTGGGCTGCAAACTAGGGGTTTACTTTAAAAAGTAGAGCTATCCATCTATGGAATAAGGAATATGCAGAGTGAAGCTAGGATAGAAAGGGAAAGTTACACCATCATCAAATCCTTCCTAAAACACAGCCTTATGATAAGACTTCATAATTTTGTTTACATAAGTGAGAACTCACTGTCTCTGCTCCTGATCAAATGAAAACAAAAGTATTATCTCAATATACCTATTTTCAGATCATGGACAGTTTTATCTATGCAATGATTACTTCTTTTAATATTAAAAATTAAGAGCTAATTTTACTATTTGATAATATGGACCACTATCTTAATCTTAATTTATTTCTTTTCATTTCTTACCTATGTATTATAAGAAACTAGTTTATTAACATACCTTGGGTCAAGAAGACTCCTCAAAAACTTGAAAAGCAAGACCTGGTTCTGAATAGGAAAACAAAAATGTACAATTAAATATTAAAACAAATTATGCCATGGTAAAGAACTACGAGATAGTCCTTTAAAATGCACCCATATGTCTGTTTCCCTGAGGCCTCTGTACAGATCTAGGGAATGATAAAGAAGCACCTGGCCTTCCTTTATATCCTCTCAATACTTCTAATTCACTTTTGAGTGTAGAAGGAACACACTTTGTTAATGCAAAAAAAGACTCCTATTGAGACAAATTTTGAACTGTTTCTAGAAGAAGGACCTCAAGTGGCAGGTGCTTTGAACTGCTCTGATAACAGTGGGTTCTGACAGCACTGATAGGTTTCAAACTGCCTCACCTGTCCTCCTGGTGACAGGGGCCTGCTGTGAGACAGTTAATCTAGGTAGGTGAGGATTTCAGGCCCAAATGAACAATAGCCACCAAATCAAGCTCATCTTCTCTGCAATATAATCAACTACAGATGAGATGGCATTAAACTGCAATGTGTTACAATCGCTATGTCAAAAAAATCTGCGTCTGTTTCAGACACTGACTGTGTAAGTAACTTATCCTCTTAATATCCAGTTTCCTTATGAGAGTGTGTGGAAAGCAGAATTTTCTTGCCTTTGGCACAGAATAGTAGTGAAGATTTAAAAAACCCCAAAATAATCTTATGGTCACATAAATACAAATAATATTTCTAGGTTTTGAGGAAACTTCAATAAAAACAATTAGCTTTTTAATTTTTCTGACACACTCAAATGTCATCAGTAAAAAGCAGGGGATTTCCAAACTGAAAAGAATTAATACCATATATATATGGCAGCCACAAATATATCTTTAAATTTATATATTTATGGCTATCTATCTATCTCTCTATATATAGTAGTTATGGGATGTAGCTCAGTGGTAGCGTAATTGCCTACCATGTATAAGTCCCTGGGTTCAATCATCCTTAGGACCATAAAAAAGAAGTATGTGTGTGTGTTCATTTCAAGAACTCTGAAAACTATTAGTCAGAGGCACACTGCTTACCACCAAAAGTAAAGGCACTTGATAAGACCTGTGTGGGATTCCTGTACAATCAATAAAGCTCTGTGATCAAATAGTTTCTTTAAAAGACTCAACACTTCATTACACTTCAGTTTCTATATATTTGTCTGATGGATGAATGGCACGTTCATTACTAGGCCTCTTACTATCCTTACAGACTACAAGGGAAAAAATCCTGCAGTTGGTAATCTTACTTTTTAAAAGACAATGACAATAGCACCATCACACCAGGTGAGATTTATCAGAACTGTGGGCTTTATTTTTGTTTTTGAATCTTAGTCTTTATTTTTATTTTTCATTTTTACTTTGTGTTGAGACAGGGTATTGTTATGTAGCCCAGGGTGGCCATGAATGTCATGATCCTCCTGCCTCTGCTTCCCAAGTACTGGGATTATGGGTGTGTCTACCATGCCTGGCACTAGAGAGGCTTTTTGTTTTGTTTTGTTGGAACTTCTGACTTTTATAGGGGAGAGAAGCCCTGGGGATTGGGAGTGGTATGAGCAGACATGTCCTCCTAATCTCCCACTAGCCTGGATTTGGTGTCCTTCCACACAGTTCCTCAGTATCCTGAGCAGAGTTCTATCTATCATCTTTCCAGTCAAACTACTCTTTAACATTCTTTTGGCTCCTGTCTCCTTCCTTTGGATCAGGGACTACATTTGTGTTTTCCTATGTTATCCCCAGCACTTAAGGTTTTTGATCTCACAGCACAAATATTTATTGAATTCATGGATGAGTTTTTTTTTTTCTTGAGTTAGTGAACCTAATGCTAGATAACCAAGCCTAATATCTGGGAATCATCTTTAAATTTTCCCATCATATTCATCTAATTTCCAAGTTTTATACATTTAACTTTCACAAATATATCTGAAATCTGTCCTCTCCTCTACCACTGACTTTGGTCTACCACTGGTCTATCCTTTGCCTAGACCTTTTGCCTTTTAAGGTGGTCTCTCTGCTCCAGTTGCCCTCTTTGCCAGTCCATTTGCCACACTGCTAGCCAGAGTAAACTTTTTAAACAGTGGATCTAATGTCATCCTTTGCTTAAAACACTTTAGTATTTCTCCAATACATAGAAGACAAGTATAGTACTTACACTGCATATAATATCAGGTCCCAACCTATATTTTCTAGGTTCTATGATTTTAACATTTCTCTTCCAAATGAACTCTTCTAGCTTAATCTAAAGCTACATCACCATCATTCCTGGTATATCATGCTTCATAATGACCTGACCATTCTCTGAATACACAAGCTGCTCCATGTCTTTAAGTTTTCACACACTCAAGGCCATTTATGTAGAAAGCCTTTTCCACTTTGGAAAACTGTTATCACTCAAGATGCAGTTCATGTACCTCTGGGAATTTCTGTCTGACTTTCTCACAGTCCATCACTCTCTTCTCCTGTTCCTGTAACGTTTTTGCTTTGGTATTACTGGGGTTTGAACTCAGGGTTTTGTACTTGCTAGGCAGGTGCTCTACCACATGAATGACATTTCCACCCTTTTTGCTCTGTTATTTTGGAGCGAGGGTCTCACTTTTTGCCCAGGATGGCCTACTCCACAATCCTCCTACTTTAGGCATCACACCATAGCTGGAATGATAGGTGTGCCTCACTACGCCCAGGTTTTTTCCATTGAGATGGGGTCTTGCAAACTTTTTTTGCCCAGGCTGGCATGAAACTGTAATCCTTCCAGTTGTAGCCTCCCATGTAGCTTGGGATAAAAGGCACACACCACTGCGTCCAGCTATGGGGTCTTGCTAACTTTTTGCTTGAGCTAGCCTTGAGCCACAATCCTCTTGATTTCAGCTTCCCAAGCAGCTAGGATTACAGGTGTGAGCCACCGGCACCTGACCCCTGTAGAACTTTTATAAATCTCTAGTGTAGCTCTTATAACATTATACTGTAGTAATGTAAATGCTCCTCTGTTCCTAGGAAAATTTAAAGGAAAGATTATATTACTACCTGTGTTCTCAGGGCTTAGTACACGGTGCTATGACTAAACAGCTTTGTCTCTCATGCTTCCCAACACACTCACTGCTCTGGCTTCCATCTTGACCAGCTATTCCCTGTCACTACTATTGCCATTTGAGGACTCTCAAATGTTGTGTTTTGTGTACCTGTCATTGTCTATTCCCTATCTCTGTCTTGTGGCCATAATAACAGTGAACAAACTCAATACTAGCACTGCCACATAAGTGGTAAGCAGAATACTAGGTCTATTACATAGTACATCTAACTGACTTCTCAACATTTGGCATGCTTGTAGCTATAGTCTAGCTAGTATTTTCCAAGAAAAAATCCTAAAAAATCAGGATTAGATGACAAAGTTCTGAATAAGTAATATGGACCTCCAAGAGAACAGGGTTTGGGTGCTATAGCAAAGAAAATGGAGAGAAGAGAGGCTCTTCAGTAGATTATGGTCTCTAGGATAGGTACAGGTTATAGTTTCAAAGATTTTTTTTGATGTTAATGTTTATTATGCCCAAAGATGAACTCCCTCATTTCAAGACTCAGAGATTATCACATAACTACTCCTTCCCACACACACACACACACACACACACACACACACACACACTGCAGAAATTACTATTAAGTGGGAATTATCAAATTAAGAAATAACTGCAATCAAAAGTTCTTAGGTAGAGAGTCAATAATTGTCTCTCCACTAGATGCTTTTTTCTCAGTATATGTTTGCAGTACTTACCTGAAGTTTTCTAATGACTGTCTCAATCTCCCCAGAAAAGTGGATAGCAACCAGCTCTGCAGCTTTACAGGGCTTCAGGGACACAAGTTCCTGGAATTAAGGGAAAAAACAAAGCCATTTAAAAAGGCATATTTAGATGGGATACCCATTGGTGTGAAGCACAATTACCTACCTCAATATTGTCACAAACTTCCACAATGTATTTCAGGAGACTGATATAGGGCCTCAGTTTAAGGAACACATTACAAATGAGCAAAATTAGAAATGTATCATACAACAAATCAAAATTAGATTTTAAAAAGGGTAATTCAGAATTCTTAGTGAAAGCACTATGTATTTTTTAGTGAAAGCACTATAAAAATCTGGATTCTGGCCATGCTAAAACAGGCTGAACAGAAGGAACAAAAGCTTCCCAAATGCCATGTCAATGAATTTTACCCTTGAGCTTAAAGAAATGAGAAAGAGTGTAGTTGCCGTTTCTCTAGCTAAGAATTCTAAAACTTGACCTCTGGTGTCTCAGAACCAGAAGTGTCTGAAGAAATCAACTTAAGGTTCTAAGTCTTAAAGGAAACTAAAACTTTCAACCACTGTTAATTAACTGCTGTTAATAAGATCTATTTCTGTCAAATCTAAGATTTCCATCTTGTTCTCTCCTTGAACTTTCCTTCACACTACTGGCTATCTTTCCTATTTGAAGCTCTTCTTCCTTGGATTCTGTCACCTGCTCCTCTGCCTTTCCAATTACCCCTTCTCTGTGGGAACACTGTGACTAAATACAATAATGATGCATGGCTAAAGGCAAAGGCAAAATGTAGAATAGCACAGTATATTATCTAGTAAAACTTATACAAGTTACTATAACTGAAATATTCATGATATATTTAATAATTACATTAAAAAGAAATTATTATGTATTAATTTATCACAAGAAAATTCCCCAAAGTATAATTTAATAAACTGACTTAAGGGTGAATTTTCAATCATTAAAGACATTCATGGGCTAAGAATATGGCTCAGTAGTACAGCGCTTGTCTAGCACGCAAAAGACCCTGGGTTTGATCCTTAGCAACACAAAGGCTGTAGTCCCACCTACTTGGAGGCAGGAAGATTGCTCAGCTCCAGCCCAAGAGTTCAAGGCCAGCCTGAGTAACATAATAAGATCTTGTCTTTAAGAAAAAAAAAAAGATTTGAATGAATACTCAAAATGGCCTTAAAGAAGATATAACTCCAACATTAAATAACCTTTTACAGAGAACAGAAAAAGGAAACTTCTTCAGCTCACTGTATGAGGCTAGCAACATTCCGAAACTTAAATCTAATGGGACAATATAAGAAAGGAAATTACATATCAATTTTAATCATGAGTTGATACAAATATCCTTAATAAAAATAAAATTCTAGATTGGAAGTGTGGCTCAAGTGGTAGAATGCCTGCTTTGCAAACATGAAGCCTGAGTTCAAACCCCAGTCCCACCAAAAAAATAAATAAAATAATATAAAATCCAATAGCATAAAAAGAATAAAGCTGGGTATGGTGGCTCACACCATCTCAGCAAACAAAGCCAGGCTACTCTGGAGGTGTAGGTAGAAGGGTCACAATCTGAGGCCAACCCAGGTAAAGAGCGAGACCCAGAAAAAGAGCATATAGATCCTTGATACACTTATGACCATGGCAGCACTGTGGAGCAATGGGGAAGGGCCACATCTGTATCTGAAAAAGTTAACTGGACCCCTACTTCATGTCATCTGTAAATGATATGGTGGACCTCAGATCTAAAGATTAAAAACAAAAACCAGGACTGGGTGCACGGTTCAAGTGATAGAGTACTTGATGACCCAGAGTTCAAACCTCAGTACCACCAAACAAACAAACAAAACAAACAAGCAAAAAAAACCAAAACAACCTGATACCACTAAAACCAAAAGCTGAAAACTAGGGTTTATAGCTCAGTGGTTAAGCACTTGCCTAACATGTGTGAGATCCTGGGTTTGATTCCCAGGATAGCACACACACAAAAAAAATTTGATTAAAAAAATAAAGGAGGGCATTTCTTAAGTATAGAGGGGAAAACTGATTATTTTGACAACTTAAAAAAATCTCTTTTCTTAAAAAGAATATTAAATGGATTGAAGGAAAAAGCCACAACAGTGGGAGAAGATATCTGGAACACATATCTCTGAAAAAAGACTAACATCCATGATACATAAAGAAATCCTACAAATCAGTAAGTATAAAAGACAATCAAATAGAAAAGATGGTTAAAAGACTTCAACAGGCACATCACAAAAGAAAAAATCTAAATGGTCAATAAACATGAAAAGTCTCCCCTAATTACTTATTAGTAGTTAGGGAAATGTAAATTTAAAACATAACGAGACACCATTACACATCCTCCAAACTAGAAAAGTTTTAAAGTCTGGCAAGGTTATAGCCAACAGGAACATAGGAACTCTCTTATATAGTGCTGGCATCCATAGTTTAAGATACTAATCCCAATTACCTAAATATCATATACCCCCAGTGCTGAGACCATCAATTATCATGCTCCTCCAGAATCTCTTGGCTGCCTATTGAACTACACATTGGGAGCCAGCCCCCAGTTGCTGAGTCAGAAGGTCTGCAGTGGAGACTGAAACCACATTTCTATCACGTTCTCAACTGCTGTTGCAATGCTACTCTGGGATCAGACCCAGAACCACTGCCTTAGAGAAATGCAGGTGGCTCGGCTCAAAGTGCATGTGGAAGAATGATCATGCACAAATTATTTTAAAAGTAAAAAGCCAGATACAACTAATATCTATTAACATGGTAGATGGATAAATTATGCTGTATTTACAAAATGGAATACTATACAGTAAACATGAACTGCAGCTACATAACAACAAAAATATTGAGCAAAGATCCAGCAGAAAATACAGAGGGTAATTTCATTTAAGTTCAAAAGAAGGCGAAACAGAAACATACTTGGGATGTGTGCAGATGCACTCATAGTACACAGAAGAGAAGGAAATTATCACAAAAAGTCAGGATAATAAGGTATATGAATATTGGTGGGAAGGGAGAGGCAGGAGCTTGTTACCAGGAAAGGATGTGTGGAAAGAGTCTGGGTACTAGATATATTTTATTTCTCCATCTGGGCTTAGAATATTTGTTTTCTAATTTTTTAAATTAAATCATGCATTTGTCTTAAGAGTTTTTCTGAATTTTTTGATCTTCAAAATAGAAAAAAATCTAATGAAATAAATTTTGTCCACATTAGAAAAAAACATCTAAAACAGAAATTCTTTACTGGGAGCCCACAGACTCAATCTAGAATAACTTTAAAAAAATTTTTTTATTAGGATATATTTATTATATGGGGAGGGATTCATAGTGACAATTCCAATTAGACTTATTTGTACATTATTTACATTGCCCCCATGTCTCTCCCCCTCATAGGAATGACTTTTAAGGGTCTGTAGATTGCTGAACTGCACATGAAAGTAAGTAATACTCAAAGTCCAAATCTTTCATTAGACTTGCAAAAAGATCCACACCTCAAAAGTGCTAAGAACTACTAGGTTTACATAGCGTATACTATCAGAAAACTTCATTATAGCGTTTCTATGTGTATTTTTGTTGATTGAATTTATTTTAATGAAGACACAAAAGTCCTTCAGCAAAAACTCCATACACTTGTAATCATGGCCATAAAAGATATTAAAAGGTCCAAGGTGAAATAATGTGCAGATGTGGGTGAAAAATTAGTCAGCAGAAGTAAATGTTGTGTAGCAAAAACCCTTCTTGCTTCTCCAGCATGAGTTTTCTGCTGAGTAATATGTTTACTCATTGATTAATTCATCATGTTCCCATTATGCAGAGAAACAGCTTTATTTTTGCATGTCTGGAGTCTATGTGCTCAAACCACTACGTAATACAGATGAATTAAACGAAGAAGTAGTCATAAAGTGACTATGGAAGAAAATGATGAAAAAAGGATACAAGATGAGTAAAGGAAAAAAAAAAAAAGAAGAAGATAAAATGCAAATGGAGAAAGGTCTTGCTGTGTTCTTTCACCAAGATACAGGTTAATAGGAACCTGATAACATTACATAACGTGTGCCATGGTCTCAGTCCCATGAGTGACTGCCCAGCTTTCACACCAGATGCTTCACCTAACATGCTATTTGTATGTGTGATCTTTCTACTATAAAAAGGCATTTAATTCTCAAGTTAATCAATGGAGTAATATGATACTTGCCATTGCTTGGTGAACATGAAGTTAATTTGGGAGCTATCCATTTAAATGGGGAAGTTTAAAAAGTTTCGTTGAAGCAATACCTCAATGTGATCCATTGCTTTCTGCCACACAGACTGCTTCTCCTCAGCACTGTGGCCAGGAATAGACAAGATGTTGTGAATGTAATTAAAGACTTCTTCCTGAAGAGCACAAGATAATATACTCTCATTCATCACTCAAGCAACATTTATTTACCACCTACTATCTGTAGCAGTCTTGGTAAATATCTATTATCTGGAGATGGAAAGCCATTTAGAGATAGTTAACTGATGGAAAACAGACCTAAAGAGAAAGAATAATTACTTAAAGTACAGGGTAGATTCTTAGAAATTACAAAGCTGTTCCAATTGATTTTTAATTTCATTTATTAACCTTCAGTGACCTAATGGGGGAATATCATACTTTTGCTTTTGGTGGTCCCTGTCCACAGTACCAAATCATCCTTTGTCTTTATCTTGTAGGTTCCACTGATACTGATTTTCATTTCATCTATATAATCCCTATTCACTTCCTTGAGTATGTCAATTTCCCACCACTTTAGGACCTTTTCATACTATTCCTTATCCTGAAACTCTTCCTCTGTCTGTTTGCTTGAACAGCTACTCAAATTCCCAAACTCAATTTACATATCACTTTCTCTGAGATTCATCTCTGGCTGCTCTATATCAGTCAATTCCCTGTCATCCTTCAAAGCTGTACCATCTCTCTTTCCTAACACTTTACAGAATTTTTAATTATATATTTGTATTTGTTTATTGTCAATCTCAACCATTAACTTATAAATTTCAAAACTTCAGGAACTATATCCATTTTAATTACTAATATAGACTTACCCTATAGTAGAAACTCAATAAAAACCAGGTGGATAGTGAAGAAAACCTTGGATCAGCAAATACATGTCTGAATATTTCTGCTGATGGGGCTGGAGAGGAGCTGACTCAGAAAAAAAAGGATAAAGCACACTTTCACCTTACCTCTCTTAGTGGGTCACGCAAGTAACAATCAATAATTTTGTCATATTGGTGTTCTCGTTCATACATAAATTCACAAATTTGATAGCTAGAATGTAAAAGGAAAAACTTCAATGTGCCAAATAGGCAGGTGGTTATTAGCTCAAGCACATGGGTCAATATTGATAATTAAGGTTATAAAGTTGAGCATGCCTAATCTGAATGAGGCTCAAAGAATTCTGAATGCTGGGGCATTTGGATTTTCACATTAGGGATGTTTAACCAGTAAGACATATGCAAATATTTCCAATGCTGAAAGACTGAAATTTGAAATGATGCTGGTTTTAACCATTTCAGATATGGGATAGTTATCATGTATTAAGTACCTAGGGAACACGAATATCTGCATTCCCCTAACTATAAGCTTAAAATGCTATTGAATACTGTGTAAAAGGAATTTCAAAGTTGGATATAAAAAAATGTCAAAAAAAGATAATGTGTCATGTAAAAAATATTCATTATGTTAGGTAACAATAATTTGCAGAATTTTTCTATTGTTATGTTCAGAATTAAATATGTCAAAACATACAACTCAATAAATGGCAGTGTTAGCATATTATTTGCTATATCTAATTTTGCGTTGTTTCTGCCACACATAATTGTCAAAAAATCTATGAAAAAACATGGAAATATTAAGTTAAAAAAAATCTAGATCCAGGCATGGTGGTATACACCTGCAATCTAGCACTCAGAAGGCAGAGGTAGGAGGATTGCAAGTTCAAGGCCAGCCTAGCTGACACAGCAAGACCTTGCCTCAAAATACCAAAAAAAAAAAAAAACCCCAAAACCCTAAAATAATGAAATGTCATAAGACTACTATTTCACTTTCATATTAAAACAAATGTACATTTTAAATTTATCCCATAAATTTCTGCAAGTTTTACTGGAATTCAACTAAAAGGCAAAACTTTCACATTTAGGTTTTTGTTATTTTTGTATAATCTTTCTTAATTAAAAAAAGGCAGTAATACATCAGTAAACTGGGTTTCAAGTTAGAGAAATGTAATTTAATGGTTTTATGGAAACTAACATACAGATGCAAAACAACTTACAATTCAGCCTTTTCTGCCATACGGATGAGCCGATTCTCTTCAAACTGAACTATGCCTCCAGCCTGCAGCAATTCCAAAAGGACCTGAGTGTTTAAAATAAATAAGCAAAGACACTTAAGAATTGATTATATTTACTAGCTCTATAAGGGTCCATTCAGTCATGCAGAGCATACTTTTTTTTTCTTTTATATTCTTACTTGATGATATATTGGCTTGCTTTCACATATGCAAAGGGTTAGACTTTTATTATGTTGACTATATTGTATTTATGTCTTGTAAAAAGGCAGGCGGCTCTACTTTTCAAACATGGAAGGAGGGAAGGAGTGCCACAGTATTTGCAAATACAATCCTGTTAAAATACAGAATAGATCCCCCACGAAGCTAAAAATACCTGTATATCTTTCCAAAAAGTGAGTTTTTGCCTGGCACTTCTATGTCTTAGGGTTTTTAAAGTCTATTGTTCATCCATGTTCACATGCTAATTTAAAAAGTAAACACTGGAGTTTTTCATAGAAGTACTATTCAAAATATCCCAAAGGTGGAAACAATTCAAATGTCCATCAAGAGATAAATAAATAAACAAAATGTGGTATACACATAGAATGGAATATTATTCAGCCTTAAAAGGAAAGAAAATTCTGGCACATGCTACACTGTGTATAAACCTTAGAGACACTATGCTAGGTGAAATCAAGATAGATACAAAAGGCCAAACACTGTATAATTGCACATATATGAACTATCTACAGTAGAAAAATAACCAGAGACAGAAAGCTGAATGGCGATTGCCAGGGACTGGAGGATAGAAAACTAGGGAGCTATTCTTTAATGCAAATGGTGGTTCACTTTGGGAGATGAATGACCTGAAAATAACAGTGATAATGACTAAACAACAGTGTGAATATACTTACTGTTTTTGGAATATACACTTAAGAATAACATTTTGTATTATGTATATTTTACAACAGTAAAAAACAAAAGTATTGGAGATCATATAATTAATTTTTACCACACTAGTTGAATGAAAATTTTGACTAGGATATTTTATTTTCATATAAGTATATAAAGTACCTCCACCATATTTACTGTCCTTTAGCCTCTCCATTCCCCCTCCCCCTCTCACTAACAGAACCTGTCAACATTTCTGTCCTTCATTTTTTTAAGTGTATATTAATTATTCAAAGGGTTTTGCCATAGTATTTTACCTGATAGGATGAGCCTTCCAAGGTACATTGTAAGCATGTATGGAAATGACACAATGAAACCCCCTGTACAACTAATATATACTAATAAAATGTTTTTTAAAAATTTTACTAGGTTATTGAACTAGATTCAGCAATATTTTTTAATAAACCTCAGAAAACACAAGAGGCATTGCACAGTTATGAGAGCTCTGAGAGAGAAAGCTTTCTCCTGTGTTTAAGTTTAGCATCTAGAATAACATTGATTCTTCTAAAGATCTCCATTTGAAAGTGTTTCTACCCACAGAAAATTTATTATTCCAAATAATAAATCTAATCACAATTTACATTTCAAGAACCCAATTTTTTTTCTGCTTTGAAGCACTAAAATGTTACTGTTAACTATACAATAAATTATGGTATAAAAACCCCATCTCTGTGTCACTTTGGAAAAACAAAATAATAGAAATGCCATTTTTGGAGTCAATTCTTACAACTCACTAGAGCGTAATTGTTAAATGGCAGGAATTTTGTAAGTCAATTATTAAAACACATGCATTATTAAAATTAAATTATTTAGCTGTACCAATTAAAAAAGAAAAGAAAATTAATATTCAAAACTCACTCACTTCTGTGTAGTTTATTTTATTACCCATTTACTCTTTATATTGCACGCTTAAGGTATTTACATCCACTGTAACTGCATTCTGAATGGTGGAAAATCATACACAGGTGTGTTACTGTGCATTTCTAGCTCCATTGTTCAGTTGACAACACATTCATAGGTTTAAAATCAGCCATAGTAGGAGTACGCCCAACCATGGTTACCCATGGTGTAGCAAATGCAAACTGAATCAGCAAAATGCTATAAAAATGTTAAACCTCTTTTTAAATTGCTTTTTTAAAGATTTGCAAAAAAGCCAACCCAACAAACAACAAAAATGAGACAGAAAATCATATGTGGCCCACAAAAAGCTTAAGAATATTGTTCCTGTGGTTTCTTTTACAGAGAAAAGCTCATTAATCCCTAGTTAAGAAAAAGTGGTGGTTAAGAATAGCCATCAATAGCAAACACCGCTAAAAAACAGTGTGCGAGGGGATGCGGGAAAAAGGAAACGCTCTTTACACTGTGGTGGAATGCAAAACTAGCAACAAACCCCACTCTGGGAAAAAAAATTTGGAGGCTTCTTAAAAATCGTAAAACATTAGATCTACCATTATGATCAAGCAATGTACCACTCTTGGGGATATAACAAAAGAATTTGACACAGGTACGTCTAGAGGCACCTGCACAACCCATGTTTATTGCAAGCACTATTCACAATAGCCAAGTTTATGGAAACAACCAAGATGCCCACTACTGACGAAATGGAGGCAAGAAAATGTTATCTACACACAATGGAATTTTATGCAGCATGAAGAAGATGAAAATGTTATTATTCACTGGTAAATGGATGGAATTGGAGAACATCATTCTAGTGAGGTAGCCTGCCCAAAAGACCAAAAATCATATGTTCTCCCTTCATATGCAGACATTACATCAAAGGCACACACAAACAAGGGGAGTTGGAACTTTGATTTCACATGATAAAAGCGAGAGCACACAAGGGAGGTATGAGGATAGGTAAGACATCCAAAAAAAACTAGATAGCATTTTGTTGCCCCTAACGCAGAGAAACTAAAGCAGATACCTTAAAGAAACTGAGGCCAATAGGAGAAGGGGACCAGGACTAGAGAAAAAGGTTAGTTCAAGAAAAGAATTAATTTAGAAGGTAAACACAACATGTACAGGAAAGCAATGTGAGTCAAAACTCCCTGTATAGCTATCCTTATCTCAACCAGCAAAAACCCTTGGTCCTTCCTATTATTGCTTATACTCTCTCTTCAACAAAATTAGAGATAAGGGCAAAATAGTTTCTGCCTGGTAGCGAGGGGTTAGGGGGGAAGAGAGAGGAGGTGGGGTAGGTAAGGGAGGGGGCTGGGGGAAGGGGGGAGAAATGACCCAAACATTGTATGCACACATGAATTAAAAAAAAAGAATACAAAGAAAAAAAAAGGAGACGCAAACAAAAGTCACAATGAATAAATATGTTAATTAACTCAAAAAAAAAGAAGTGGTGGTTTAAGTCTGTAATCCTAGCTACTTGGGAGGCAGAGATCAGGAGGATCACTGTCGGAGGCCAGTCTGGGCAAAAAGTTCCCAAGACCTCATCTCAACCAACTGTTGGGTGCAGTGGTATGTATCTGTCATTCCACTTACATGGAGAAGCACAAATAGGAGGATCAAGATATAGGTCAGTCTGGGCATAAAGTGAGACCCTATCTCAAAAAATAACCAATGCAAAAAGGGCCAGGGAGTGTGGCTCAAGTGTAGAGTGCCATGTGTGTCCATACACTATGCATTACATTGTGAAAAGAACAAAGAATTGAGGAATTATTTTCCAAGTATTCAAAGACTGTTACCTGATACAGCAAAGAAATCACTGCAATGATGAATGAGTAAAGTTGTAATATGTTTTATTGTTATACTTTCATCTTATTCATTTATATAAATTAGAGTAACAACCAACATTGATATCAGAACTATACTTGGGGGATCTATCAAACAAACTGGAAAATCCTAAAAAGTACTGAATGACCAAAATTTGATATATAACCACTGGTATAAGGAAAAGAGTGTTTGACTACAAGGGAAGGAGCTGGGTTTTTAGCTATAATATTAATATACTATGATTACTTTCTAAGGTTTGTTTTCTACATTTAGATTTGGCTTTTCTTTCTATTAATTTAGAATTTTTCTTAAAAGTTTTTATCATTTTATTTAGATATATCATGCATTCCATGATAGAGAAAGAAGGGTGAAATAGGGGCTTTTGTTATTATTTGTATTTAATATAATTTAAGTGGCAGTCAAAACTATAGTACTGTTCTCTCTCGTGAGAGTCTGCAGTAGTCACTGGGACACAGCTGTGCAGATCACTGCTTCTCTTCTAATGCTCCTCATCTGAGTCTCAAATTCTGAAAAGGTCACCTCTCAATTTTAAGAAGTCTGACTGTCTTAGTGCCAACAATCATAGTACATAAGCTTTAAGATTTTTTTTTTTTTTTTTGTGGTACTGGGGTTTGAATTCAAGGCCTCATGCTTGCTAGGCAGGCATTCTACCACTTAAGCCACTCCACCAGCTCAAGAGTTTTTTTTGTTTTGTTTTGTTTTTTTAATGTAAGGTCTCACTATGTAGACCAGGCTGGCCTAGAACTCATGATCCTCCTGCTTCCACTTTCCAAATGCTGGGATTACAGGTATGCACCATTACACCTATTTGCTTTTAAAGAATTCTACTTCTAGAAGTATCCCTCAAGAAAGTGGCATAAACAGAAGGAAGTGGTAACCAAACAGTTACTGTCTCACAGTGATAAGGGGAGGGACAGATGGACTTAAGCCTCTAGAATGCAGCCCTAATAGAGTGGAGCCTTTAGGCACTCTGAAAAGTTTAGTGTGCCAACACTCAGAATCCTGTAGCCTTTCTGGTTCGGGGCCAGAGAAGCCAGCCGTGGTCACCAGGTGAATGACACTGTGGTGTAACAGGTGCTAACTGTTGCTACATAATGGAAAGGGTGAAGTATTCTCTTTGAAGTCAGGCCAGATGCAGACAGGTCCACTCTGCCTAGGAATTTCTTCTGATATAAGCTCCTTACACAGATACCTCACCAACTATCCACAACATTTTCTGGTTGCCACTATGTTTAGCTTGGAATTAGGGTTTGGAACAAATCATTTTCTCTTATGTCTAGTGAGGCCTAGCATAGAAAAGATCCTTCTGGCCTATTCTGACTTCTTTCCTATTCTTTAGCAGAAGTGTTCTAGCAGTTCATACCTGCTGTCTTTCAGAGTGACGGGAGTCATCATCAGGACTACAGAGGAATTCAAGGACCTGGCCAAAGAAAAAATAATTTTTATTGTGTATCAGCATGCATGCCTCAAGACTGTCATGATGGAAACAGAAATAAGTATCCTTTCAGTGTCACCCACTCCTTCACTAGCTATAATACCACAGTGGATGGTACCACCTCAACTGATTGGCCTAGTACATGAAACATCAGGTTCAAGTATGCTAGTAATGTAATACATACCTTATATGTATGTTTCCTTAGTGTTCAGAACATAAGTAGGAAAGATAGCTGTACTGATCTTTTCTGGTACTGTCATAAGATAGCTGTCATTTCTATACCTTAACTTTCAGTTTACTAATACCATGGATTGAGCAAAACATGGACTTTGTAGTCAGGACACTTGAATTTGAATCCTAACCTTACATAGTAACAACATTACTGAAAATAATAACACTAAGTATGACTTTGGATGAGTTACTTAAGTGGTCCAGGAGTCAACTGAATGGAGATAACTGTATCAATTTCAGATCTGTTGGGAGGAATGATTAAATACATATATATAAAGCTTTGCAATAGTACCTGGTACTAGGAAGTGCTCACTAAATATTGCTCATTATTGGCCACTTTTTCCAGATAAAAATATTTCCTTTGCCAACTACGTATATGTAGGCGATATTTAACATTAATTAGAAGACAACTTCAGAGTCACAGTCATTTGTAAGTAAATTCAGATTTTTCAAAAGTAATCTCTTCTTCAGATGATTATTATTCATGGTCTTACTACCAGTGACACAGGGTGATTCTTAAAATAGAAAATTCCTGAGGCTGAGTATGGTGGTGTACCTGTAATCCCAGATACTCAGGAGGAGGCAATGAAGAGGGTTTCTGGCAAAAAACTTAACCAAATTGTTAAGTTTTCAAACTTGGTTTTCAAACCAAGTTAAGGGATCTCAAAAAACCAAGATAGGCATGGTGGTACTTGTTTGTAATCCCAGTTAAGTGGGGAGGCGAACGATCTGAGTCAATCCCTGGCAAGAAGTACGAGATCCTATCTGAAAAGTAAACTAAAGCAAAAAGGGCTGGGGGTGTGGCTCAAGTGGCAAAGTGTTTGCCTAGTCATATTGCAAAAAAAGAAAGAAAAAGAAAATTTTTGAACAAAGAATTCTAGGTAATTTAAAGCAACTGAATTAAGAAAACAGAATCTTTATAAACCTCTCTCTATATATACCAGGTGGTAGGTAAAGTCGTATTACCCAGAACACATCATTAAAACACAAACCTTTCATTTAGAACCAAGACCCCGCTGGGTCTCTCCTTGATAAGACACTTATTAGTACTCTGTCATATTAAGAAACAGGACAATCCCATGAACTTTTCTATGAAGAGTAAATAGAGGAAAACCGTTCTAGTAATCACTGTTAAAGACACTTACCTGATCAAAGAGGGTTCTGTTCACAAACAAGGTATTGTCAGGCTTTGCAAGTTGCCGGGCAAGGAAAGTAAAGAGACACCCTACTTGTGAGGGAGTAAAATCTGAATTCTCCACCATAACCTGGTGAACAAAAGACACCATTTATTTTATACACATCTGGTTTTATTCTCTCTATATATATGTATACATGCTATACATATATGCTATATATGTGTACATATACATAAATGTATATGTATATTTAACATTAATATACTTAATGCTATATATGTGGATATATACACATACATATATGTACACACACACACACAATTAGAAGGGGAAGCCTCATTACTGAAGACTATGAAAAGATTCTTTTAAGGACTTGGCAAAAATTGAATTCAGTACCATTTAGAGAAGCATCACAACTACTTGTGTATTTTGAAAGGAAACACTTCAGTGGTTTTTGGCGTATTTCTAGTTCAACTTGGAAAAGAACTGAATTGAAAGAGAGGGGGGTATAAGATTTCAAGGAAATACCAATCATGTCTCTCTCTGGAATTTCTACTAAAATTTTATTTAAATTAAATTTAAATAACCCTACTAAAAATCTGCCTATCAACAAGGAAAGAAGAGAACTGCTTTGGGGCTCAAAAGTAAGATAACCTGCAAGTGAAGGAATCCCTGAAAATAAGTCACTAAGGCTGCTTTAATGAACTGAGTGGCTTCTGCCTTGTCTACAGGCAGTTCTGGAGTGGTGGCTTTGTACAACAGGCTTTTCACAACCATACACAGTTCTCAAATCATGGCCATTCCTCTGTTTTAACTCAGCTCATCTTCTGAGTCTCCACTATGGATAAGGTGCTCCACAGGTGCCTTTAACGGCATTAGGAACTAAGAAGGAAGGCGAGACATGTAAACATATCTTAAATAAAAGATACAGGTGGTTAAAGTACTATAAAAAATGACAGATTCTGGGTTGGAGGAGTGGCTCAAGTGGTAAAGTGCCTGCCTGCCTAGCTGAGGCCCTGAGTTCAAATCCCAGTACCACCGAAAAAACAAAACAAAGATTTTCAGCATAACTGGCAGGTGGCATAAGGCTGCCATTAATAGAGTGCAGAAGTCTGAGAAGGAAGCTGGTGTTTTGTTTGAAGCTAGTTGTATTAATCAGGACAACTCTACCATAAATTAGGACATAGTACCCTGGGCACATGTATTGAAAAGTCTGAAGTTCTCCCCATCCTATCCTCCATTCAAAGATAAAGTGTAAAATTTTTCCTGTTATAGGGCTGGTGGAGTGGCTCAAGTGGTATTATCTGCCTTGCAAGTGTGAGACCCTGAAATCAATCCCCAGTACTGCCAAAAAAAAAGATTTTTCATATTATAAAACATTCCCGTAAGACCTACTTTTTGACCTACCTTTTCTTACTTGACTAGCAATACACCCTTACTTTTGCCCCTTCCTGCTGTGAGCCTGCAACCAGCACTTGTTTAAGTGCCTAATCATTACCAGAGTACGAAGATATTTCAAGTTGTACACACTACAGCCTTGGACTCCATGGGTCTCTGGTTCCAAGGAGACCATCATGAAGGGAAACTGTGAATGTTCAGGATGCACAGAGTTCAGTGCTGTACTGTAGGTGCTTGCTTCATTTTCTTGCCCAACTTCCGCTAAAGACATGCCCAGCCTTTCAACAAACCTAAAATTTTTACCTTATCATTTAAATTAAGCACATTCACATGTGGGAAGTAGATTTTCACAAAATTAAGTCTAGAGGAACACTACTAGATTCCAGGTACTGTGCTGGACATGTTCTGGGCATACCCCCTAAAATAATTAAGTATAATACAGAAATAATAATCGTCAGTCTCTACCTTCAGGAAGCTCAAGCCCAAATAGGACTTGAAAATGATTATGATACAATGTGTTAAGTGTAGCATAGTTTGTGAACAAAAAGGAACAACTACTCAACTTACAAGAGTGAAAAATGGTTCAAAAAGCTTTTCATGGATGATATTTCAGTTAAGTCTAGGAAAGCAATTAGAAATTTGCTAGTCAAAGGAAGGGAAGGAAAAGGCAGGAGAGGCTGAAAGAAAATCCATGCAAAGAACATAAACTGTGAAGATAATACAGAAAGCTTAGTGAATTCCAGTGATTTACATAATATAAGGAGTGGGTGTGAGGAGGTGGGTGGAAGAGGAAACAGTTAAAGAGAAGTAGACAGGAACCAGAAAATATAGAGGATCTTGACTATTACATTATACAGTTAAATGAGTATGGCAGAAATTACTACTTTTACTCTGCCATGGTTTAGATATGGTTTATCTCCTAAAGCTTCATGTACTAGAAGCTTGATCCCTCGTGTGGCACTGTAGAACTGGTAGAATTTTTAACAGGTGGGGCCTCTCCAGGAGTGGTGGTGTGTGCCTCTAATCCTAGCTACTTGGGAGATAGAGGTAAAAGGAACATGGTTTGAAGCCAGTCCCAGGCAAAAGTTAGAGACACTAGATCTCAAAAAGTAAACAAATAAGCAAACAAACAAAAACAAAGCTGTGTGTTGTGATGGTGCACCTATAATCCCAGGTACTCAGCAGGTAGAGGACTGTAGTCCAAGTTCAGGCCAGGAAAAGGGCAGACTATCTGAAAAAGAAACTAAAAGGACTGGGGTGGGAATCAAGTGGCAGAGCACTTGCCAAGCAAGCACAAGGCCCTTCTTGAGTTCAATCCCCAGAATGGGGTGAGATGGAGTGGGAAATGGTGCAGCCTAATAGGAAAAAAAATTAGGTCACTGGAAACATTGCCTTCAGAAGAAATCAGTGCTGGTCTTGAAGAATGAGTTAGTTCTCGAAAAATGGGATGGTATAAAAATAGTGAGCCTAAATCCTGAATCTCTCTGGCTTCCTGGCTGGCCATGTGATTCCCGCTCTCACATGTACTAATACCATGACACCATCTACCATGTTGTGATACGGCCAAGTGGGCCCTAATCAGAGGCCAAAACAAGCCCGATCTGAACCTTTAGCCTCCAAAACTGTGAGCTAATAACTACTTTTCTTTGTAAGGTATCAAGCCTCCAGTATTTCCTTATAATAACAGAAGATGCATCCTACCTTCTAACTTACACACAAAATCCTAATTTTTAGCTAAGCACATGGTTGCCCAGAATACAGACTATATTTCTCAATCTTTCTTAGCAGCAAAGAATCATCTATCAAAGTGCTGCATAATATGATATAAGCAGAATTACAGTGTATAACTTCTAAGAAGTTTTCTTAAAGAGAGTTAACATTTTCTTCTGCATTTCTTTCTGCATTCAGGCTGACTAGAACATAGATGTAATGGCTGGAGCCTGAGCAGCCATATTGAACCAAAAGACAGAAATCATGTACTAGTATAATAGTAAGAAAGAAGGAAGATGCATCCCTCATGAGGTTTTGCACCCACCCTACTAGATCAGGTTGCCTACCTCCAGACTTACATGCGAAAACTCCACTTTCACCACAATGAAACTATTATTATTTTGAGTTTTCTCTTACTGCAGAACTTCATTGCAACTGATTCAATAGGGAGCCATATAAGAATATTAAATAGAGATGAGGCAAGATTACAAATAGAAAGACCACTTAGGAAAGTACCTGGGAAATCTAGGTGAAAATTCACCATACTACCCATCGGATCAAACAAATTATTTGAGAATTCACCAACCCCACTGTCCTCACCTTACTGGGTAAATGAGTTACTCAGGTAAAATAATGTATATATTGTAAGTGTGCTCTGAAAATTATAAAGAGCTCATATAAATGTAATACACAGATGCCTTGTACAACTAGAGAACATTTGAATTCTGGTCTCTTGTCCAAAATAATTTAAAATTCATTAAGATGAAAAACCTCCATTTTATAGCCAGATGAACAGAATGTAAATTCTAAAGTTTCAACTAAAAGGCTGCTGAAAATCATGCCAGAGGAAAGGATAAGAACCCATCTTGCATTCATTCATTACCCGAGTGTGAATCTCAAAATAGCTCTTTACAAAATCCACTTAGAGTTAGGTTGGAATGATCAATCTCACTACCATAGCAACTAAGTGATGTAGAAGGGACAGAAGAAGATTCTTCACACAGTTATTTCCTCAAAGTGCTCTGAAGTTGTCTCTATTATTACACAGAATCATAATAATGAAGCAATTATCACAATATTCATTTCTCAAGAGTAGTACCCTGTATACTGACACCTAGTTTAAAGATGAGATACATTAAATTTTTTCAATAATTGATTAGTATCATTCACCTCTTGAGGGCCATGACTCCATAATATAATTTTAAAATATGATTCAACAAATTGATTCACTAAACAGGATTATTTTAGAACCTGCTATAAAACAATTTTATCATCTTAATATGAATATCAATATGAAGACACGTCATCTTTGAGGGCTTACTTTCAACAAAATGTCCACAATTCGCTGTTGATATTCCACAGCTTGCTTGTCATTTTTAAAATCTTCAAAGGTCTAAAAAGGAGAAAGAATTTAAAAGTAGTTATTACTTGCAAATTTTAGAAGACAGCAAGTTACGAATTCTTATGAATAAAATCCAAGTAAACTCCCAAATAAGATAACAATTCCTCACCAGGTTTTTCTCATATACCTTTAATGACACGTTATTTTGGGGGAGTCAAGTAGAAAGGTGTAGCACGTAATATTTCATAGTATTCTAGGCTTTAAAAATCAATCAGAGGTATTTAAATACAGTGTTATCCCACCACCAAAAAAGTGAGAAAGAAAGTAAAACAAAGTCTATAGGTAGAAAAAAAAAGAATGTCGATAGCAAGAGTCAATTTGGGAACAAAGGTCTGAGCATGGAAGGATGAGATGTCACATGTTCAATTAACCGAAATGCAGTGTATTCTATGACAAATTTAGAAAAATGATGTTCAAAGACAGACACTTAAAAATTACTTTGGTAAAGCTGTTGAAATACTAAAATTCTTAAGCGTATTTATAAGGATTGGGTATCTTTTTCTCAAAACATTGCCACGTACCGAACACTTTATATTTTTATATTCCTGTTTAAGTGAGGCAAATGTGCTTTGAATACAAAATGAATCAAAGTAAACGACAACAGTGCATTCTGTTTGGCAGCGTATGCTAAAAGCATGTCACAAAAGTACCTAGTATATACAGGATTCATATATTAAGAAACTGAAATTAGACCTATCATCAAAAAAATCAAGATTAGGCATGACTGCTCATGCCTACTATCCTAGCTACTTGGGAAGTGGCGATTAGGAGGATCACAGTTCGAGGTCAGCCTGGGCAAAAAAGATACCTCCATCTCAACCAATAAAAGCTGGTCATGGTGGTGCCTACCTGTTATCCTAGCTAGACAGAAGCATAAATAGGAGGAGGATGGCAGTTCAGCCTGGCCCTGTCATAAACATGAGACCATATCTGAAAAATAACTAAAGCGAAAAGGACTGGGGGCATGGTTCAAGAGGTAGAGCACCTGTCTAGCAAGCTCAAAGCCCTGAGTTCAAACCTCAGTATGACCAAAAAAAATTTTTTTAAATGTTAAGTAATAAGGATTAAAGACCTGAAAATCTTTCCTATGGTTTTCACTTAGGATATTTGGTTCTGAGAAATGCTTAAATCAACATGCAATAATTATTACTAATTTCTGAATCAAGAAAATGGACTACATATTGTTCCAGTAGATTTTTAAAAAGGAATTTCATAGCCATGAGCTTTTAAGACTACATGGTAGTTCTAATAAAACCAGAATACTTACTGGTCTTTAAATGGGTCCTGAGTTTTCCCAACTTATCAAAGTAACTTTGCTCTTATTAGCATGACCTTCCCTTCTTCCTGCTGTCTGCTGCACAGTAGGTGCTTAACTGTTCAACTGTCCACTTAATTATTTACAGAGAAAAGTAACAGTATTTTAAACTTTTCTTCCAACTAGTCTGTTTTGCTGCTGGTTAGTTGAGACAACCTGAGACGAGTTGCCAAGGAGACAGTAGGAACTTCATCTGAAACGCTCTACCAGAAGATATTTATATGTTTGTGTGAGTTAAATACGACCCTGACTGAAGACAGGAAGGTAGAAAAGAAAACTCAGTTCTGTCTTCTGATTTATGACACACACACACACACACACACACACACACACACACACACACACACACTCACTCATCTCAGCCTGTTAAAGCAAGATGTCACTCTGCAGATACAGAGAGTATGGTACAGAGTACCATCTGCTAATATAAGTTTGCTATTCCATTAAAATCTAAATTCAGGCAGAGTTAACAAATGTATTAAAAACAACAGCAGTAACAGCAAGTGAAAAGAATTTCCTTAGCCATTTTTCTTCTGGCAGTATGCAACCATTGGTCTGAAATTTGTTTCTATAAATATAACTGAGTGGTGTCATACCATAGTATAAATGTTGTGATACACATAATGGGACATATGTCATGTCATTTCTAGAACATTATCACTCCACAAACATGCTTCTAAGTATTCAGTGTTTGTTACAAGAATAATATACAAAGATGTCCTAATGGAGAAGTATAGTTTAGAAGCACAAGATGAACCTGAATCTGAAGCTCAAAGACATCCATGAATTTGAACATTAAAAACTTCTTTCTGGAGTTCCTTAACAATTATTATGGTGTTTCTGGATAATCATGATGACAAGCTAAATCCTAATCCAGGGGTCAACAAACATTCTATATAAAGAGCTAGGTAGTAAATATTTTATTTATTTTAGTTTGTGTGCTACATGTGGAATCTATCACACCTTTTTTTCCTTCATTTTTCACAACCACTAAAAATATAAAAAAAAATTCTTAGCTCACATAGGCCATGGTAAAGAGAGCTGATTTAACCCTTAGACTAGTGTGTAGGTCCCTGACCTAATCTCTTCACATATCCCAAAAGACCCCTTTATAACAAAAAAAAAAAGTATCACATACAATGCATGCTAATGACAAAGCTGGAATGAGAACAAATACCATAACTTACATGTAAATAGAAAAATAAACATCCCAAATTAGCAGAGTTGGTCCAAATGCATAATACCAAAGAGAAGTCAGGAAAGGATGGTGTATAAGTCAGAGGGTATAATGAGGTCCAGTGACAGCAGAAGACCTGCAATGTTGCATAGAATTTACCTCTAAAGTAAGGAATTCTGAGATAAGGCCTGAAGCCTACAGGATCAGAGCATTGGCTATTAGGAAGATCAAAGGAAGGGATGGGGAAAGTATGGACCAGAAGTTCTGTGGTATGGTCTAAGTGTTTGCATCCCTCAGAATTTATACTGAAAGCCTAATCACCAATGTGACAGCATTAGGAGGTAGGGTCTTTGAGAAGCAATTAGGTGGAGGACAGAGTCCTGATGAATCGGATAAGAGCCTTATAAAGTGCATCAGAGAGATCCCTTGCCTGTTTCCACCATGTGAGGATTCAATGAGAAAGTGCCATCTATGAACCCGGAAGTGGCCGTCAATACAGAATCTACCAGTGTCTTGATCCTAGCCCTCAGAATTGTGAGAAATTTCTGTTGTTTATAAGCTACTCCTTCTATGACACTGTTACAGAAGCCCAAATGGACTAAGACACAATAGTGAGAGGGATGCTGGAATAGTGGTTCATGCCTGTAATCCCAGCACTTGGTAGGCAGCACAAGAGGATCATGAGTTCAAGGCCAGCCTGGGCTACATGTGAGAACTTGTCTCAAAAATAAATAAACAAACAAAAAGAGTCAGAGGGAATCTTTTAAACATACAGAGCATAATATTCTTTTTCCAAAAAGGCTTTCTTGGTTACCCACACTTGTAATATAAAGCCCAAATATCTTTTTATTATTTAATTTTTATTAATGTATATGCATTGTACAAAGAGGTTTCATTGTGATAGTTCCATACGTGCATGTAACGCACTTTGAATTCACCTCCTCTATTACTCTTTCTATCCCTCCCTCCCCTCTTTTTAGCACAATTTTTAATGGATTTCATCATTCTGTTTTCATACAAAGTTCTTGGATAACAGTCCCCTATCACCCTCTCCTTTTGCGCTCTTTCTTTCACTGGTTCCCCTCCCAAGACAGTTCCCATTTTACACTCATGTCTTTTTATTTTTTTGGTGTTTTTTTCTGGTCTAGATTCTGAATAGAGAGAAAACAGGTGATATTTGTCTTTCTCAATCTGAAAAGCCCAAATTTCTTAGTATAGATTGCAAGACTCAGTGTCTGCCTATTTCTTTTGTTTCTGTGTACTTTTTCTCACATTTAAAGATGCAGATATACTGAATTTTTTTCAATTACCTGAACATATATCACTCTAGGTCTTTTTAAATATAAATATAAATATAAATACACACACACACACACACACACACACACACACACACACACACACTCTGACCTGCCTAGAATATCTTCTTCTACCCTTAACTTAACTTCTGCTAATCTTTGAGATTCAGCATGGACATAATTTCATCCAAAAGCATTTCCCTCTTTAGGTACACCTCCTAAGTGTTCCTATAGCATGCTGCACTTCCTTTAAGGTCTGCGTCACATTGTGTTGTAATAACTTAGATCCTCCTTTTGGAGGGCGTGGTTTCCATTCTGTCAGCCAGGGTTGCATCTCCCAGATAATATAGTATCCCTTAATGCAGGGGATACACTAGGCACTCAATATTTGCCAAGCAAATGAGAGATTCTTTTTCAGCCTTACTACAAATCCTAATATTATAATTCAGACATCAGCAAAATTTCAAATGTGTTTCAGTGCTACCTCATCTCCTTAAGAAGCAAAAACTAGGTAAAATTCTTTGTTTTTTCTACCAATCTTTACAAACTCTCTTGCTGATCATTTCCTATTTCTTTCTTCCTAAGTGTCATCCACCTACTATGTTCTCTGGACATCTAAGGTCTCCTAAAACGACTAGATCTGACTTCCAGTTCTGAGTTTCTCTTCTCTTCCTACTATGTTATTAAAGTTACTGCTTCTGAGCCAGGCATCAGTGGCTCATGCCTGTAATCCTAGGAACTTGGGAGGCTGAGATCAGGAGGATCTGGGTTAGAAAGACCCTGTTCTCAACCAATACCTAGAAGCAGTGCTGTATGCCTGTCATCCCAGCTATAGCAGGAAGTGTTAAATAGGAGGATGTGGTCCTGGGCAAAAAAGCAAGACCTTACCTCAAAAATAACCAGAGCAAAAAGGCCTGGAGGTGTGGTTCAACTGGTTCAGCAACTGCCTAGCAATCATAAAACTGTGAGTTCAAACCCCAATACTTCCAAAAAATAAAAAATAAATTTACTGTTTCTGAAGTCAGAGTTTCAAGTTAAACCAATTCAAACTATAATACAACAACCTTCTCATGGGTACTTAGTTTTTTTTAAAATAACTTCATAGTGTATTAAATTATTGAGTTTATAAAAGTAGTAGAGGCTCATAGGGAAATTTGCCCCTCTCACAGAGTTAGTCACTACTAACATTTAGGGTATTCCCTTCTTGTTTTGATGTTTTACTAAACACTATTATACAAGCACTTTCCATCTTACCAAAAGCTTTACAAAAAAGCCAACTATAATATTATTTAATTGGGGGAACACATCATGTTTTATATAATTATCCCCCTAAGAACATTTTCACAGAAAACCTGCCTCATCTAAATTCATCTCTAATTAAACATGTATCGGGGTTTTTGTTTGTTTGTTTGTTTCAGTAGGAAGCTTCCATGTTCCATCTGAAGTACTTTTATTTCCACTGTCATCATCAGGTCTCCCTCAGAGCCCTTGTCCGTATTTAGAAAGCAGAGACATACCACATCTAACCTTGGTCTCTTTAACTTTTTGATAAGTGTGCTTCAGAGAGAGAGAGAGAGAGAGAGAGAGAGAGAGAGAAACAGGCAGAGAGACAGAAAAAGGAAGGACAGACAAAAAAAAAAAACAAAACAGGTGCCACAATATCGAATATTTGAAACCTCAACTTACTGCTAGAACATAAAAACTGTGTTTGCATAGGATTATTAATTTTCTTTCATTCTATTAAAAAATTATCACTCTGGCTGCTTTGGAAAAAAGATCTTCAAAATCATACTGTCCCTTACCAGTGCCAATACATTCAGAAATTCTCTTGTGTCAAAATGTAGCAAAGTCCGGACATAAGGATAGATTTCCTCCTCGGGTGATGCTTCTGTTGAATGCAGGCGAATCAGAAACTCAAAAACCTGCAAGGTGAAAAGCTATTGTTCATTATGTTCTCTCATCTTACAAAGCATCTTACTGAAGCAATAATTCCCATTTGGATAAAATAAAGGCAGGCTGAATGCAGTTTAAATTGCCAGTGAGTTATAAGGTTTCTTTTAAATCCTCTCACAACTAAAATTGTTGACATTAGTGACAGAGTGAGTGAAGTATAATCTGCAACTGCAATTTGTCTTCAGTGCATCTTAAGAGATGTACAGAGTAAAACTGCTGTGAAAATGGTACTAACCTGGTTTTTAACCAAGGGAACAAGGTCTTCAGGGATGTCACCAAGGGGATAGGCACGACCTGCCAGACAACAGCTAGAAGAGAAGAGGGAGGCCAGATCTGGTGACTTATAAAGGAGTAACTTTCAAGCAAGTAATGCATTGCTTCTCAGACAGAGATTCAAGTTTGATTTTGAAGTAGGCTTAGCTTTTGTCAGTTAGGTCAAGTTCAAAGATCACATTACTGTTTCTGCACAGTAGGGTGACTACAGATAATGATAGTGTGCTGCATATTTTGAAAGTTTTTTGAGTGTTGTCACTATAAAGAAAAGATAAATGTTTAAGGTGATAAATATGTTTGTCCTGATTTAAATATCACACTATGTAGACATTTATCAAAAACACTTCCTGGGAAAAAATTGCATGGTACTTCATAAATATGTTCAATTTTTATGTTTCCATTCATTAGTTTAAAAAAAAAAGGATGATTGCCAATTCCAATAATGTGGGAAATGGGAATGGTGGTGAAGCAACCCATCCTGTGCCTGAGTAGGGGGGGGGGCTCCGTTTCTGTGTAGCTGCGTGGATGGGGCAGGACAGAATGAAGACACCACCCAAAGACCTCATACTCAGCATCTAGAAAGAACATAATTATCACACTCAACTATGATTTGCCTGCTAGAAGCCTGATGTTCTCAGAGACTTTCTTAACTCATGACTTTATGAATGGTGGTTAAAAATGGGGAATGAGGCTAATAAATGTTGGGAACATCTGGGACGGCCCTTCAAGGAGAGTTAGAATCTGAGAAATTCACCCACAGCCATTATGGCTAGTGATGCCTTGTGGGCTGAATTATTACAAATGTCTTCTGAATATATCTTTTTTTTTTTTTCAATGCTTTCCATGTTTTGAGCTCAAAGTTTAAACCACTTTGAACCAGGCACTGATTTTCAATGTTAGATGAGAGATAACCAGAATACAGCAGTTTCAAGCACAGACGATAAAGTGCTAGGTAAATGCTGCTACATTTTTTCTCACCAAAGAATCAATGTATCAAGTGTGAGGGAGGTCTCAAAGTTAACTTAGATGCTGGATAAAAGCTAAAATGATGCTCTGGCAGGCAGTACCACCTTCCTACCTTCCTGCCAACCAGCTATCTGGCTAAAACTTCCACCAGGACTTAATTCTGCTCTGCAGAGCCTACTGGAATGAACTCTGTTCTAGGAGTCTGGAGACACACATTTCAGTTTTACCTCTATCACTAACTTGTATGTGATTTGAACAAATCTCTTCCCCTTATGTGTAAAACAGTTTCTGGTAGTAAAAATAAAATACATCAAGACTTCTCAACCACAGTCAGGTAATTCTTTGTGGTGGGGATACCCTATGTATTGTGGGATGTTTAGCAGTATCATGGGCCTCTGTTCACTAGATGACAGGAACAATCCTCTCTTCTATCCCTTATAGGGGTAACCAAAAATGTCTTTGGATATTCAAGCTAAGAACAACTACTCCACATAAAAGAACCGTGAAAGATAAAAGCACTATATGGATAAAAGATAAAAGTACGTCTTACAACATAGGGAAAATACAGAAGTCACAGATAAATAAATAAAAAACTCTTACCTAATATATACAAGAAGTTTGTTGCCCATAACAACTTGCTCATCTGAAAAAGAAAGAAATGTATGTTTAGCAGTTTTTAGTTTTTAGTTTCAAAACTTTTTCAGATATGTAATCTTTATGTGCAAACAAAAACTAAAACTTGGCATTTAAGGTAAGGCAAATATACTTCCAAATACTGAAAAACTGAGATAAAATTACTATAACTTTAAAAGAATTTCCATTAGATTCTCTTCATAGACACAAAATCTGTATGAGTTATTCATTGACAAATGTAGAAGGAATAGATCTGAGGGTAAAAACCTAAGTATTGTTGGCTTATTCTCTAGCCTGGGTACAGGGGAAGGTATAGAGCAAGCTGTGGATTCATGAATTGGAGATCATGGCCAATTAGTTGATATTAAGGTTCAGCTGTAAGTCTTCTCATTTGTAATATGGACTTCTATTACCCACACATCTCTAGTGCTGAGAAGACTAACTCTATTCTGAAACATTTCAAGTAACGGCCTTTCAATAAATCTTTAGGGATCTTTCTATTCTAAGGTCAAAAATGTGAGATCTGTCATTTTGTGAGATAAGCCTATTTCTTTGACTAAAGGACATCAAAAAGATAATTATACCAATTTTTAGGCCAAGAGTCAAGAGCAACATACAATGTAATAGAAACATTGAAGTAATCAATGAAACTTGAAGTAATCAAGTAATCAGGAATGCTTATGATGTGCAGATTATGGGAATCTATAGTTTGTAATAATGAAGAATTAAAATTTCTGCTTTTGGTACACAAATAAGAGATGTAATACAAGCATTGTACAATAAACTGAATTGATATAGTGTTTAATTTTAAGCAAGTATACAACTTTTATCAGTAATCCTTTAAAAAGACTGTACACGTGTGATGTTATTTGTATAAATAAATTTGAGTTGCTCAAAATTATATGAGAAATTACATTTTTTTCGGTTCCAAATGTTATTTAATCCAGCTCAACTAATATGATACAAGGTAATGACTGCCTTCCTGGTATACCAAGTTCAGGATTATTGATTAACTAAGCAAACACTTTCTTTTTTTTATTTTTTTTTTATTATTCATATGTGCATACAATGCTTGGGTCATTTCTCCCCCCTTCCCCCACCCCTTCCCTTACCACCCACTCCGCCCCCTCCCTCTCCCCCCCACCCCTCGCTACCAGGCAGGAACTATTTTGCCCTTATCTCTAATTTTGTTGAAGAGAGAGTATAAGCAATAATAGGAAGGACCAAGGGTTTTTGCTAGTTGAGATAAGGATAGCTATACAGGGAGTTGACTCACATTAATTTAATTTCCTATGCGTGTGTGTCACCTTCTAGGTTAATTCTTTTTGATCTAACCTTTTCTCTAGTTCCTGGTCCCCTTCTCCTATTGGCCTCAGTTGCTTTTAAGGTATCTGCTTTAGTTTCTCTGCGTTGAGGGCAACAAATGCTAGCTAATTTTTTAGGTGTCTTACCTATCCTCATATCTCCCTTGTGTGCACTCGTTTTTATCTTGTGATCAAAGTTCAATCCCCTTGTTGTGTAAGCAAACACTTTCATTGCTAGAATGTCAGGTGGAATGTATCTAGCTCATGGTACTCCTAGAGAGAGCTAAATTCACTCATTTCAAATAGCCATCTGCATTATTCCATCCACTACTGTGAGACCCTTAAGAGCAGGGGTCTGTGTTATCTCCATATTTCTAACATCCTGTATAGTGATTAGTAAATGTATAGTGAACTGAAATGATACAGTGCCTAATTTTCTAAACCTCTTCTCTTCCCAAGGTGCTCTTTTAAACAATTTTCTGGTGTAAAAACTCAACAACTCCAGGCGTGTTTTTCAAAGCTATATTCCACATTTATTTCTGGTGAATACAGATATAAAAGCCAATTTTCAAGTCTGTTTAAAAACATTAGGTTCAGGGCTGCTATTAGGTATGACAAATTAAGACTGTACACAATGGACTGCCCTGCCTTGCCCTTACAGAGAAAAGTTGCAGACCTGGCCATAATACAAAACAACTACCTAACGTTACTAAGACCAGATGGAAGCATAAGCTCTGACGGGCAGTTCAGACTCAGATTCCCCAGTGTGGCTTTTGCTCTGGGGACGTGAACTAGGACTTGTATTCATGAACCACAGTGGAAAGACTCCTAGTCTTTCTGGCCTAAGGGAAAGTGAAATCAAGAAACCAGGAATGGAGATTGGAAGGATCACAGTTTGTGGCCAACCTGGACAAAAAGTCAGTGAGAAAAAAAATGCCTGATAAAACAAAGAAAAAAAATAATACTCAGTCAAGAAAAATAACAGACTCCAGAATCTCCACAATGTAACATTGAAATACCAGGACACAACTCAAAATGACCCAACATATGAAAAAACAAACAAATAAATAAATAAATAAACCTTCAAAGAAAAGAAACTGAACAAGTCCAATCCTGAGATGAATAAAGTGTTAGAGCTAATAGACCAGGACTTCAAAGGAACTATTATAAATTTCCTCAATGAAGCAAAAATATGACATGAACATTTCAATAGATAAATGAGCTGCAGCAGAAAACAGAACCATTAAAAAAAAAGGAACAGAAATTACAGACTGAAAAATACAATTGTCGAAAATAAAAATTTGCTGAGTGACTGCGACAACAGACGGACATGGAAGAGGAAACACCAAGGTACTTCAAGGTAGAGGAACAGAAATTATCTAGCATGGAGAAGAGTAAGAAAAGCCCAGACCAGACAGAAAGAGGACAAAACATAGCAAAACACACCCTGAGATGGTAGAGTAAGGGCCTCCAAAAATATGTTCCTCTATTAATGCAGGGAAAACTGTCAAAATCAGCTTTTTCAGAATTCTTAAAAACTAAAGATCTGTCATTTCTGAGAAATGTTTATTTGCATATAAAGCCTGAATCTCAGAAAGGACAGAGGGTTCTACAGTTGTGACTTTACTAGTACTACCCTCCTTTCCCTGGTATCACTAAAGCTTTTAAAACTAACAGCCTCAGGCAGGCACTGGTGGCTCACACCTGTAATCCTAGCTACTTGGGAGGCTGAGATTCAGAGGATGGTGGTTTAGGGCCAGCCCAGGCAAATAGTTTGAGAGACTCCCAACTCCAAATAACCAGAGTGAAACAGACTGCAGGTGTGGCTCAAGTGGTAAAGCATCTGCTTTGCAAGCTTCAAGTCCTAAGTTCAAATGCTGGTCCTGCTCACTAAAATAAACAAATACATAAATAAATCCAATAGCCTCTTAACTGCACAACTGTGAAAGCCAGCAATGCAGCACCCACCTGAGAGAAAATAATAGGTTTAGAGCTCCCCAACTACCCTATCCAAGAGAATCGTTACTATTGGACCAATCTGCAGCTCACTTAAAGCTCCATTCTCAGGGAAATTATCTGATAAAACAAAGCAGAGAAAATACTCAGTGGGAAAAATAAACAAATAACAGAATCCAGAATCTCTACACATCTTTCCTTATTCTGACTCAAAACAGCACTACCCCCAGTGCATTTGCAAAAAAAACAAGCAGCCTACTGTTTATCCTACAGCTGTCTGAAGCAGTTGTAAGTAACAACAGGCCCTTCAAAAAACTTATAAGGAATAACTGGAGAATGGGTCTGCAGGTTGTTTGAAAAGCTCCAACATATTCCTGGAATTCTGGAAGGATCTGCACATGTGCGGGACTGAGCACATACCAGGGAAGATCAGAAAAGGCCCCTTCTTATAACCAATGGCTGACTTTGAAACTCCGCCCAAGAGTGAACTGAAGTGAAGGTGAACACAAAACTGTAAATTGCTGCCCAAGAACTGACCAGTCCAAAATAAAGAGATCCTACATAAAGCAACTTACACTGATTACTATCCTGGCTCAGACTGGCCCCAATGTTCTTACAGAGGAAAAGACAATTGGAATTGTGGATGGCATTTTCAGGAAGAAAAGTGCTCCAGATAATACATATAAAGGCAGAGGACATTATGGAAGAACTGACTGGCAGCAGAAATGGTCAGAAAAGCAACATCCCAGTCCTTGGTGATCTTGGACAAATTGAGAAGAGGGACAAGTACCCATGATGGCATTGAATATTTTATTAGAGATGTGAAATCCTTAACCCTGCCTGCCATTCATTATCCACCAATTTGTTAAAAAACTAGAAAGAAAGTTACTCATAATGGGTATAGAATTACCAATGAGATTCTTGGTCAATGAGGATGAAAGCAAACAGGAGCCAGGTGAAGAACAAGTCCTGACTGTTGCTTTGTCAAATAACCAGAGGGACTGCAATAAAATTATAGACTAAATGTGACTAAACTAGTAGGTGTTTTTGGAGAAATTTTAAAGAAAGGAGCTTACAAGTCAAAAGAGCTGGAAGGTTTAAACATGGAAAGAAAAGATCTTTTTTGCAATGTTATGGATCTTACATAATGCAAAAGACCTGCAACAGCAGACAGGAGTTTGAAATGGAAGAAATACATTCTTCTCTTCTTAATTAAATGAAGACTATATTTTTAAACAAAAAATAGAGAATAAAACTTTTTTGCCAATTAAAAATTCTGTTCCATCTGTAGAAAATGACTCTCCAGTAACACTTATCTTTGTGTGATATGTGAGCATAACATTATGGCCAAAATCATTCCTAATGGAAGCAGAGCAGCCTCTTGTGAAGAAAGGCTTTTTCTCAGGTTTTGTGTTTCTGACTTTTCAAAGTATAAATGCTTTTTATTATTAAGACTTTCAGTATGTAATTAGAAAATTTCATAGACAGTAAGTTTCACATAAAATCAAAACCTTGTAAATAATGCCTAACATGGTAGGATGCAGTTCAGGAAATTTCAGAGAGTGATATAAAAATTGAATTCATATTTTTATTTGTTTCAGTTCAGTTAAATGGCAACTGTGTAAATCTGGCAGGAATCTTACCTTTTCATTTGAACTAAAATAATTTTATAATGCCACCAGCTTATTCACCATTTTTTGTGATAAGAATTTTTGATAAAAAACATAATTACCTAACTTTTAGAAACTACAAAACCAAAGGAATAAAGTCACATGCAATTTGAAAAGTTAAATGTTGTCAGAGTTTTAAGCAATTTAAAGACTGTTAGATAAAATTATCATTTGTCTAAGTGATAAATATTTAATGAATACTTGCTATAAGAAATTAAGCAAGAACTGATAGAATTGAAGTGAGAAATAAACAATGCAACAATAATATTTAAAGATTTCAATAACCCAATTTCAATAATGGATAAAACAATTAGTAGAAGATGAACAGTAAACAGAAGACTTGAACAAACTATAAGCCAACTAGACCTTCCAGATAGCTACAGAACATTCCACTAACCAACAGGACATATTCAATACATTATTCTCAATTATACATGGAATATTCTTCACAACAGACCATATATTAACCCATAAAATAGATCTCAAGAAATTTTAAAAGACAGAAATTATAAAGCATGTTCTCTGAAGTAGAAAGAAATTAGAAATCAGTATCAGAAGGAAATGTGGAAAATGCACAAATAGGTAGAGATTAGATAACATACTTTTAAATGAACAACATCATAACGGAGATTAGAAATAGAAGGGTGCAAGAAGAACTTGTTACTGAAAGGAACCATGCAGTTCTTTCTATGGTTTCATTATGGTGGTACTTATATGATATGATTACTGAAAGTCACAGGGCACACAGAAAATTGGTAAATTTTATAACATTTAAATATAAAAAAAAGAAAAATTAAGGTTTATAAAATTAATACCTGTTAGTGTTTTTCCTGCATTCAGAGGAGGAGCAATGACTCTGAAAAGTTTCTGTATTAAAATTAATAGAAAAATAATCACCATTATTTCAAAGTATAATTTTTAAGATAATTAAGAATCTTATATTTTTAATTGCCTTTCTCTGATGGGATTAGTCATTTGCTGTTGAAATTAAATATAAAACAATGTACACACACTGTTTAGAAGAATCACTAAGGGAAAATCATCCTTGACCATATTCCTCACTGAAAGAAACCATTTAATAAAAACTAGTTATACGAAGGTCTTTGTTGAGATGGTAATTTCTGATATAAGGTATCTCAGGTTCTTAAAAGAGCTTATTCTTTA